AGATTACTCCCAGAAGCAAATTCAATACTGAATGTCAACTCCATATAAGCAAAAGTAAACTTGAAATGGATTATAGGCCTGAATGTAAGACATGAAACCATAAAACTCTTAGAAGAAAATGCTGGAAAAAATCTCTTGAATGTAAGTATGAGCAATATTTTCCTGATGCATCTCCTCAGGCAAGGGAAACAAAATAAAAAATGAACAAGTGGGATACATCAAACTAAAAGTCTTCTGTATTATTAGATGAAAAGAACACCATCAGCAGAACAAAAAGGTAACCTACAGTATGGCAGAATATATTCATAGATGATTTATCCAATAAGAGGTTAACATCCAAAATACATAAGAGTTCATATTTCTCAGCACCAAAAAACAAATTATCCAATTTAAAAATGGGCAAAGGACCCAAACAGACATTTCTCCAAAGAAGAAATACAGATGGCCACAGGCACATCCAAGGATGCTCCACATCGTTAATCAGCAGGGAAATGCAAGTCAAAACCACAATGAGACATGACCTCACATGGGTTAGAATGACAACAATCCAAAGACAAGAGATAAAAATGTGGAGAAATGGGAACCCTTCTACGCTGTTGCTGGGAATGTAAACTGATGCAGCCACTATGGAAACCAGTATGCAGTTGCCTCAAAAAACTAAAAATAGAAATACCATATGACCGAGTAACTGTACTTCTAGGAATTCAGCTGAAGAAAACAAAGACTGATTGGAAAAGATATAGGCACCCTTATGTTTATTGCCCTATTATTTACAATAACCAAGATATGGAAGCAACCTAAGTGTCCATCAACAGATGAATGAATAAAGAAGATGTGGTACATTATACACAATGGAATATTAGTCAGACATAAAAAGGAAAGAAATACTGCCATTTGCAACAACATGGATGAACCTAGAGGGTATTTTGCTCAGTGAAATAAGCCAGGTAGAGAAAGACAAATACCACATCATTTCACTTACACGTGGGATCTAAAAACAAAACAAAACAAAACAGTAGTAGACTCATAGACACTGATATGTGGCTATTGGTAACCATGGAGGACAGGTTGGGGTGCATGGGGGGGAAAGTGAGGGGTATAAAGGGGCACGGAAGTTCTCAATTATAATGTAAGTTGGTCATGGGGATGGCAGTAGATGATGGAGAATATAGCCAGTGATTCTGTAACATCTTCCTATGCTGACAGATAGTAACTGCACTAATGGGAGTGAGAATTTAATAATATGGGTAACTGTTGAACCACTGTGTTGTGTACCTGAAACCAATATAAGATTGTATATCAACTAATTTCAATAAAAAGAAAGAAAGAATACTGAATGTCAACAGGAATTTTGAAGTCTTATACAATATCCTAAATTCCTGGCTTCATACTTTTAAAAGATTAATTCCATTCTTACAAATAGATGATATCACTATCATTCCTGTTTCATATAGCTTCCCTATATACCCATCTCCAAGAGTTTATAACAATAATTAAATATTTGAGGAAAAACAACAGCCTCTCAAAAAATTAACTTGAGCCCATCTCCAAACTAGCAGAATTGGGAACTCCATATGGACCGCGTTTTTGTCTGTCTTGTTCAGTGTTATAACCCCAGCATCAAGAACATATTTGGCCTCCTCTCAAAAAATTAACTTGAGCCCATCTCCAAACTAGCAGAATTGGGAACTCCATATGGACCGCGTTTTTGTCTGTCTTGTTCAGTGTTATAACCCCAGCATCAAGAACATATTTGGCCAATAGTAGGCTTTTAACAACTGAATGAAACTTCTGAACATGTCTCTTCTATAGCACAGACATAACAATCAGTTTCTATCAAAGCCAGACTGTACATAATCTGGACCTAGAAGAATTCACTGTCCTAACCCTTAGAGTAACTAGGGTCTACAAAATGCAATGATGCCTTGTTCAGCAAGAGAAATTTATCTTTAAAGCTCCCAAAAAAGGACTGAGAGAAAAAGGAAATACATCAGGATCTCCTCCACACATACCATAAAAATGTACCTTATATATACTAAATGAAAGTAAACCTTCTTTAAAAGAATCTTTTCTTCCCTTTCACTTGAATCAGAATTAATACATTCACTCATTTGGCATACATGTCCATTCTTTTTTTTTTCTCTACTTCTCTATCTACTTACCTCTGATAGCTTCTGTCCCATAGCTAATCTTGGCATCTAATGCCTTTCTAATTGGCTTTCCCATCATACTACAAAGTTTTCATAGTTATAACTAAATATCCCACCTTCTACCACCCCATAAGGTGTTTCCACTGGAAATGTTCCGTTTCCATAATTTTCCTTCTTAGTATATAATACTAACAAGCCACCTTTCATAAAAACTTGAAATTTAGAATTCATCTCAATGTCTGTATTTCCATCAATAATGATAATAAAGCTAACTTCTATTGAGCAATTACTAAATGCCAGCTACTTCAAACAGGTTATTTCACTTACTTATCATAAAATCCGAAAGATTTGTACCATTCCATTCTCATTTTCAGTAGAAGAAACTAAAGTTAATCACTTTCCCAAAATCATACAGCATATAAATAGCACTGCTGGAACCTACCACACTGTGTTCTTCATACTATGTCACATTGCCTCTCACATAATTATTTGCAAAGTCATCTGATTAATTCTCTAAAACAGAACCCAAAGATATTTCTTCTTTTCTCTCCCAAGCACAAGAACTCATCTAGGATCTGATTAAAAGCCTGGTTAATAAAATAATGTAAAAAACACTGCTTTTTTTTCTGAACTAGTTTTAGAAGACCTATATTCTACTCCTTGCTTCAATGCTATATGACCTCAGACATGTTATTCAAATTCCCTGTGCCTCAGTTTCTCATGTTTAAAATAAAGATAGTAAAATCTGCTCGACATGATTGTGTTGAGAACTAACCAAACAAAGCAAAACAAGTCATAACAGCAATTGGGGAAGTTGAAAATACATACAAGTATAAAAGTAGGCCAATCATTCAGCATCCTTTCTAGCCTCTGAGGCTGATTTTTCTTATATTGAACTGCTAACATGATCCTCTCTTGCCATTAAACTAGGCAACTACTCTGTACTGGCAATTAACCACATAAAATGCAAACTTTTGACTCTTCAAAAATGTCCATGAGACTGTAGACCTTCTTTTCTAGCCAAATAAATGTTTTCTCTGCTCTTTTAAGCCACAATTGGATTACCCATCCAGCCCAGTAATGTCATCTTCCTAAATTCCTCCACTTAATACTCACTTGGTCCTAAACCCTTTAATTATCCCTTACAAGTGACAGCTCATATGCCACATCAAACTGGCTTCAGCCTGCTTTTCCAGGACAACTTCCAATGCCCTCCCCTCTAAAAAAGACTTTTTCCCTATATTTTAAACTTCCCTAACTCTCCATTTGCCAATTCCTATGTGTAATTCCTCTTTTTCATCCAGGTAACAATAGTTCGCTGACATTCTTGATACCCTCTATTCTGAGTGCCCACAGAATCCATGCTTAGGTATTTACTCAAGTTTGGGGAGAAGATACAAACCTTTTACTCTCATTTTTGTAAAATAATTCCACTTTGATCTGCAAAGAAATGTCTCTACTTTCAGGCAAGCAGGCTAAGAGGCATGTCCTTTCCTTTTTTCCCCTTTCTGACACGGCCCCTGCCTTTTATTTAGGCTCCATTCTCAGTGGAGACACTTGCATTATTCCTATCTCCCTGCTCCCTCCCTGTCCAAATCTGGCATCCTGGGGAGAACTGGGCATGCTCAATAGCCACAGCCGATTCCGAAGGCAAACGGGCATCTTTTTGCGGATTTTGAGCCCAGCGGGAGAGGTAAGGCCCTAAGAACACAGTGACCCAGAATTTGCCCGCTTCCTCCGAGATATCATTTGATATAAAGGTGTACTCAAAACCTAGGAATGGATTCAGTAATGGACAGCCTGCTGCCAGTCCCGGTCTGCAAGGTGGATCACCAACCTGAGGAACAGAGACTGAGAACAGCCTCTCTGCCTGCTTTGGTGCAGGGAGATTTCTGCTGTTAGGAGCTGTGAGAGCAAATGATAGATGGCTGGAAGCTAGCATTTGGTATCTCTGTTGCGTCAAGAAAATACTGTTGTTGTTTTTCTCTTTTTTTCTTTCAACACAGTAACAGCAGCTGCTCCAGGCTGAGAAAGAAGATGTTGCCTGAAGATCTGCAGTCTGTGAGTCAGCTGGAGAGATTGTGGAGAGGACAGGCAAATCAGCTACTTATCTAAGGATTCTATCCAGGGAGGTGGCTTAAGACCCAGAGATAAACAGGCTATTTCCAAATGACAGTTCAGGAACCTTTCAGATGTTCAAATCTGAATTTTCTCCCTCTCTCCACAAAATGCATACCTTCTCTGTAGGTAAACTATGACCCATTTCCCTTTGAGAGAGACTGATGGAACACACACACACACACACACACACACACACACACACACACACACACACACACACACATGCTCAGTCGTCCCTTTCTCCTTTCCCCTGGTATCTGCAGAGACTAAATCTTTAGAGCTGCAATGAACAGCAGATTCCCTTAAATCATGGTCAGGGGGATGAGATGTGGAGAGGACATTTATCACGGCTCCATTATGATAAAAAGGGGGCTCCTTTACAGGGGCTTGAGCCACCACTGCACAGCCTGAGAAACTGAGAGGTAAGCAGTAACAGGCAGGGAAAGAGACGCACAGCTGCCCCTGCTGCGAAAGCCATCTCTTCAAAGAGCAGCAAACATGAGACATTTCATCACCGTACTGCATCCATATTGAGGGGGGGTGGGGGAAATCATGTGCTTTGCGTTATGCATTTCAGTCACCCGAGATGGGAGGAGACCCCTGTCCATATGTCGCGGGAGCTATCCACCACCCCAAAAGTGCACTCACAGCACCTCACTAGCAGACCGCTTGCCTGTCAGGTTTTGCAGCAAATGCCGTTAATCTACATGACAGCAGGTTGTCTCTTACCGTAGGCAGCAGCGGCTCCATTTGGGCTCCCTGGTCTTTAATCTCCATGTCTTGTACCGTTTCTGGAATAAGCACCTTTCTCTGCAGTGTCTTCAGTGTCTTACGCTCAGCCCGGCACTCGCTCTGCTTAGTATTCGGATCAGGTAGCTCTGAAGCAGGAGGCAATCGCACACTCCAACTCACCAGTCACATGGCTCCTACTCACTCGGGCTGCTGTCCAGGTTTTGCACTGAATGCCTTGGATCCCTGGGCCGGTAAAAGAGATTTCCCAAACCCTGTAGTCACTGCCCACACCTGGCTACTGATATAAAATACAGCCGGCAGTGTTGCAAGAATCTCACCCGAAATGCTAACTTCTCACATAGACTAGTCTGAGGTGGACTCCAACCAGGTCAGGCAGATTTTGACACTCTGAGGCAATTCACTACATTTCCAGGACCCCAGGGGAGACATAATTCACACAAGATGATGTTAACAGTTCAAGTTTTACTCATGTCCTGCTCTGAGTACCTGGGATCTTTAAAAACAGGTAAGATGACATTAAAGTGGATTTGTCATCATGAAATTGAATTATGCTCTAATCTAAACTTAGATGTTTAAGTCATTATTGATTAAATAAGAATTAGGCAGATAGTTTCAATATTTTAATTGTGAGAAACTTAAGTCCTACACTATTACACATGAAGTATATTTTTCTATGATTTCCCAGCAAAAGTAACAGGGAAAGAAAGTCTTTTGAGAGCAGCAATGATCAAAATACTAAAGCACTGTGAAAACACAATGAATCTAAGGAGAGTGGCCAGAGCATATACCCTTTTGCCTTAAATGACTCAACAAAAGAGAGGGAAGGGATTCTTTCACTAATCCATGGGAGAAAAAGAATCAATTAGAGCTCTTTTGTAAGGCAAAGTAGTTGATAATGGTTGTTGAATGATTATATATACTTTCTAGAATTTATTATGGGATCTAGAATATTTTAAGTAGTTAAACCCACACATGACTGGACCCCAGACTAAGAATATGGAACTTACAACTGAAGAGGGGTTAAACAAGGATGACTAAAACTTATTAAGATAACCTAGCTTAAATAAGAAAAATTTCGCCACATTTTCAAAACCTTTCATCAGCAGAATATTAAATTATTTTCAGCAACATACCAGAATGTTCCACAATGCTCATCAGAGGTAGAATTATAGATAACTTTTATATGCTTTCCTTCTCAATACAATTCTTTATAAGAAACTTGTATTATTTTGTGACAAAAACACAATCTGTTTTTTAAACTACAATGTTTAATATATTTGAGTGGCAACTGTGTGCATAGCACAGTGAAATGATTCCAAGGACTTAAATAACAAGATGTCTAATTAGTAATTTACTAATCTGGGACTTGACTTGCTACCATGGACTGATAAATAAAAACTCCCTTCCCATTCAAGTGACCATAATAAATAATCACAAATAACTTACCAGAATAAAAATGATAAGTACCCTTTAGAAAGATTATTTCTATCTCACTAGGAAACCCTAAGTCATCCAATTTATATTTGTCCAAAAAAGAATATAAATATAACTAGGAAAAAAGTTTGCCTCTTTATTCCAAGAGTCAAAATAAAAATAAGATAGTATTTTAATTAATTTTAATCAGTGTTTTACTACAATATGTATTATTAAATACTTTGCTGGAATCAACCATTTCTTGACTCTTACTATATTCTAAAGCTACTATTTCTACCAGTATAATAGGACTTAGCTAGAGTCTCAATGACAGATATTCTACTTTTTAAGATCAAGAAAGCCCATATCTATAAAGTTCTCTAAGATGTTGAATGCTAGCGTAGCAAAAAAGAATGTTGAGAAAGAAAAAGTGATTCTCATTTAACCCACTACCTCTAACTTAAGACTCTAAAGACTTTAGAATTAAGTCCCTTAACCTGAGGAAATATATCCACATACTAAGCAAATTCCAGTGGAGATGATAATATAGAACTGATAACTCTGGAAGGAAAAGCATCACTGGGCTGTGGAATCGTTACTAACAAAACCATTTTACAGATAGATCCATGGAGATCAACTTCTCTATTGATTTTCAAACTCAGGAGGTAAAAAGAACAGAAGGAAGAAAAGATCCAAATTCTATAAGCAGCTTTTTTTCAACTACATGCTGTCTGCCTTGGAAACTCTGATAAATCCTTGATAGAAGCTAAGAGAGGAAATAGCTGGGGAATACTTTTTGAAAACTATTCCCAGGTAACTTCATATTTTTCTAAGTCCAGAGCTCTTTCCCCTACATTCAAGTTTCCTTTGATCCTAGATGATAAAAAATGGGCTCCTGTTTAGCCTGTTCTTATTTAGAAATCCAATGATATTTTGTTAGTACAATTTGACAGCCATAATTTCAAATATTAACATTAAGCATTGCAAGACTGAATTTATTCACAGAACTGAATGTACCAGACATCCTACTGGAATAAGACAATAGACTGACGTTCATTCAGTCGGTCCTACTACGTGTGAGGCACTGTGGCTACTGATACTATTTCCTGTCATACCCATCAATATTAAAGTGGAATTTTCCGCTCTGAAGGGTGAAATAAAAGTAGCAATCGGCCACAAGCCAACCATTCAGCAGAGAGGAATTATAGAAAACTCTAAACAGAAGTTTAAACTCTAAACGCCTCTCCAGCTCCCCATGTCAATCCAGGAAAGAACACAGCCACCATAGTGTGCTTCCTTCCTTGATCTGTCCTGAATCCTGAGACTCTTGCTGATCTCAATTTTTATGAATTCCTCAAGTACACACGTCAGCATGGAACCAATGTCCTTTCACTTCCTACCTCCTTTTGCTATTTTAAACCCTGGGAGTTAAGATATGCACATTGATACAATGTTTATCTTAGAGAAGAGGCCATCTAATATTAATTGTTTTTGAGGAAGACACTAGATTCTAAAGGCGATTGCCAACACTAGTATTTCAAGAAAACACTTTGTAGTCCCAGTAGCATTGGGTTTCTGGCTTGGATCTCAAAGTCCTTTGCTTTTGCCCTTCTTAGGACAAAAGAGCTCAACTTTTGATAGACAACAAGATCAGAAATATATTCTGAACATTAATTCTGTGTTGGTGATAATATTATTAACTCAAAAAATTTTTAATGACTATTTTTCACATATGTAAATATATCAGCACTGTTTTATCATTTACTTATATGTTATCCCATTGTACTACCATCCTTTGGGACCTATACAAATATTCTGAATAAGTTAATGTATATTATGTAGATTTGGCAGATTTACCCATTTAAAAGTTTTTAGTTGAATTTCACAAACTCAAGAAATACCAAAAATGTCAGCTTAAAAAATGACATTTGACCACTAAGGAAAAGGGTAAGAATGCCCACAGCCAAATCGGACATACAATAAGGAATCTTATTGTATAATACTAGCGTTTAAGTGTGACAAGTCTCCTTTATACAGATGTTCTTGGCCACCGATCTGAAAGGCATGATTCTAGTCATCAATCCTCAGAAAAGGAATACATGAAATAAGGAACTAGGAAGCCCATACTAATGTTGAGTGAATGTCCAAATTTAAGAGATCCTTCAAGTCCCGCTTCTCAGTTAATGACTGGTATTTCCAATGTGAAAATTGGGACAAAGACTTGATTTTCTCTTTGCCCCTGATTACCCGTATAGGGAAACCTATGTAAAGTCTACTAGAGGGCACATCATAACCCAGCTTAGTTCAATTCAATAATATTTGAGGGTTACGGGCAAAATAGGTGAAGGGGAACAAGAGGTAAAAACTTCCACTTATAAAATAAATAAGCCATGGGGATGCAATGCACAGCATAGTGACTGTAGTCAATGACACTGTATCACAAATTTGAAAGATGCTAAAAAAGTAAATATTAAGACTTCACAACAAAAGAAAGAAATTTTTTGAAACTTTTCACTGTGATAAGTAGTAGACTTACCGCACTGATCGTGTCACAATGTATATAAATGTCAAATCATTATACTGTATACCTGAAATTAATATAATGTTGTATGTCAATTGTACATCAATAAAAAATAATTAATTAAATGAATAACTATATGAATAAATATTTGAGCACCTACTTTATGCTAGCAACTGTACAAGAACAAACAAGACATGAACCTGGAAGAGGTCATAGTTTAGAAAAGAAGAAATGTATTATCATTTGACAAGTGTGCTTAAGTAAAAATATGTGCAAAGAACAGATAGACCAGAAGACAAAATGATTAACCTTTCTTACTATAGAAATTTAAAATTTTTAGGGTATTTCTTTTGGTAGAAAAAAATCTCATTTTCCTTTCCTTGTTATGTAAACAAGAAGTATATGCATGCCTCAACTTATTACTTCTCCAATTATCAGCCTTTAAACCTAATTATCACTGTCTTTGTTAAATGATCCTGAATGTAACATTTTTACTCCTAACTTGAAAATAATCAATATCACACTTATTACAGAGTTAATCTTCTAGCTACATAATCCTTAACTTGTCTTTTTTCTATACCAAGTTATGAAGAATTACACTAAAATAATCATTATTCACAGTGTCCCATGTGTGAATTTTACTATACATTCTCAAACAAAAAAAATCTCTCGGTGTTTACTATTGAGATTAACAGAGTTTAGTAGCAAAAAAAGATGACAAATGTAATACAGGAAAAAGGGCAGAAGAAAAGCAAAACTCTTTCTTATAGTAATTTCTCAGTTTCATCACAAGCAAAGTATTAGTGAATAGGGTGTCCAGATACATTTCACACATGATGTTCAGATACATTTCATACATGATGTCCAGATACATTTCATACATGATGTCCAGATACATTTTATGCATGGTCTTACATTAACTAAGAACTTGAATTTGCATTCTACTTTTACTGTAATTTTCAGAGTTCCACAATCAATGTATCTTTACATATTATTTACTTATAAACAGTTTTTTCTAATAGAAAGAAAACCTCTGAAACTGTGATTTGGGCAAACTATAAAATAACTTCAGTTGAAATTTTTAATAGTCAATTCAACAAAAAGATTTATTAAGCATCTATTTTATGCTATAAGTTAGTACAAATGTAAATATGATCCCTGCCTCTCTAGAAAAGGTAACAGATGACTATTTCAATGTAGTATGGTTGTAAGAAGATGAAATCTCAAAGGACCATCAAGCAGGGATGCACTGCCCACCTAAGGCAGTGTAGGAGGAAGATGAGACTTGAACTGAAGAGTGAGTAATGTTTAGTCAGGCAAACCAAAATGAAAAAGCCATTCCAGTCTACAAATTTTTCAAAATTCAGAGCAGTATAAAGATAAAAATGACACTCATTCATA